CGTGAGGGTTTGGGTCGTTTCTCATGGTTTTTCTTGAACCCTGCACCACTTACCCCCTTCTACCTTGATATTTGATGGGTGCCTCTTTCGCCGTAAACTCCGCCTATGAAATGCGTCATGCTCAAATTGATATCGAACCAGGCTGTCAGTTGAGCAAAGTTCAACGGAGGAGCGTATTCTTCATCTTTGAATGGTGTTGTATCTTGAAGACTGGGCGCTATATTTTTTGAACAGGACTTCTTCTGTAAAAAAAAGACTTCTTGAGAAATGAGAGACTTTTACAATTTCCGTAAGCAAGTTTTTCTTTTTTCCTGGGAACTTCCCAGGACCCAAAATTCGCTCAACGAAATGTTTGATACTGTGTGGAATTATTAAGAGTTGAGAGAATGACTAGTACAACATCAGAGAAGTAGAAAGTTTTCGTTTGAGGTCACCCGATTCTGCCAGAAACCACCACAGTAACGACAACTTCAGCGACTACAGCACCAGACTTCAAGATGTCAGAAAACACGAGGCTGGTTTTCTTCACAAATTCGCCAACTGCTGCCAATTTCACTACAACCACTTCATCTCCAGCGGCTCCGGATCCACGAGATGTTATAAGAAATGGTGCGTCCATCTTCATCCAGTTTTTTTCTTCAATGATCTCAAAAATGGGAGGACCGGTGAAGGGTAAAGGGGAGACTTTAGTGTACGAATGATTTTCGAATTTATCCTCCTAATCGAAAAAGTCATTCGTTCAATTATTGCTATCGTAAACCGGTGATATTCAGAGGTACAAAAGGCCATCGATCGATTGGAAGGTCGTGGCGAAGACGTCGTGAAGCCGTCTCCGTTAGTGAACACGGATGAGACCAAAGATGAGATGATGTAGGTTTTTGATAGTAACTCTAACCACAGTTCCACTTGCCCAGCAGAAATCCTATTAAAGGTACCGTGCACTAAAGTTGCTACCTTCCTTCCCTGCATAAATGCGTAATTTGTGATCATTGAAGGCAGTGTACAACGTTACATGCATGACGCTCGGATAGCGGATCGAAACAAATTTTTGAGAAATACCCTTATAGCCAGCCTATGGACACCTGGGCGGAGCCAAGGGGCTCATGAAACGAAAATGGGATTGATACAGCCACGGATATGGTTATGCGGTATAGGAATGAATTCAAGATCCGTAGCAGAATTTTGGTGTTGTCAGGCTTTTTAAATCTTCGCGCGCCAATAGTACTAGAACCTGCATTAAAAGTGCGAAATGTTTGCTGCCCCATCAGATGAGGAAGAGAGTAAAAGCCATCTGGCCGGCGTGGCACGCGAACTGCGTGTGGTCGACGTCACATGCTTGCGGCAAGAGCGATGAAACGGGCGAAGCCAGTGACTCTAGACTCTCCGTTAAACGGTGTACCTACGGTGCGACTTTGAGCCACTGAAGCCTCATTCGTTTTTCGTATTTACGATTTACGATTTATTACCGGAAAACAAACGGCAAATAACAAAAATGCACTAACCATCAAGTAGTAGACCATATCACCGATAAGTAAAGTGTCTAAACCAGGTGGGTGACGAAGATGGTAACTGCGTGAAAGGGAGCGGAGAGTCGTTCGGCAGAGGGCAGTGGCCATCCCACACGCAAGCCTCACCTGCAGTAGATGTAGCAGCTCCGGATACCTCTTAGTAGGGTCCGCCACCTTGCCGACATCCAACTCCTAACGGCGCAAAGCTCAGATGGGTTAAGATTAGTCCAACACAACACCAAACAAAAGATATGTAAGTAACTAAGAAGTAACACCACTATTAAGTACCAACATGTGTCAAAGCCAGCATAGCTGTGTCGTTCTTCGCGTTTTGCTTACAAGAAATCTGTCTCAAGCTGCTAAACAAGGCGAACAGGATCGTGCGGTTTCGTTTACGATCCCTTCTAATCGTAATAGTCATTCAATGCAGTTCCCTTCGAGAGTTGTAAATTGGAATTTCAGCTTTCGAGCCGTCATTTGAAACTCAAATGATGCGTTACCTCCTCTATGCAGCTCCAGGATTTGGTGAGATTCATCTATTGACCTGAATTTTCAGCATTTTTCGAATCTCTCCTTTGTAGGTTGTCTCATCGGCCTGATTCCTGCCATTTTTCTGGTGCGATGTTGTGGGTCTCGTGGAACGTTGTCAGCAGCATTGGTAATGTCTGCGATCCTCACAGCAATGCTCCCAATCCTGTCTCAATTCGGTAAGTGAATTCTGCCTCAACAGGTGTTCGATGTGGGATTAATTTAGACCCTACATTTTCTTCAGGATTTCTGGCGTTGTTTCCTCTTCGCCTGCTGATTGGTGTCAGTTTTGCACCCGCATTACCTGTTGCTGGGGCGATTTGTGCCAGTTGGGGATGCCTGAACGAACAGCTTCTTTTCATCGGAACCGTCTTCGCCTTCATACATGTAAGTTTGAACGTGCTGTTCAGATGTTGAAATTGCGAGGCCACTGCGAAGGGCTTTGGTGGCGACCAAATCGCAACATCTTGGTGAGACGAATCATCACCTTGTCCGTACCAGTACCAAAATGTCCCACGTTTCGTCCGCACAAAAATGGGTCTGGGAGGGGGAGTCCGGGGAGAGCAGTGTGAAATTTCTTCTCAGAGGTAGAAGACTACCCCGTTTTGCTTCAACCAGGTTGAGTTTTTTCATGATTACCTTCACGACCTCCAATAACCCTCCATGGTTGACTTTTTGATTAGGTAGCGTTCATCAGGGCCCGGAAGGGTCGAAGCAATCTAGAGCTACCCGAACAAGCGTCTTTGCAACCTTAGTGAATTTCACGGTTAAACAGGTCTAATTGTAAAATGGGCCACCTGCTTCATTCGGCCTGGTTCTTGAGAATCCTCTGATGTTGGCAGTGGATCTACCAGTATCTTTATTTCAAGTCGCTTTTAACGCCAATCTTATATGGTTTCTCAGCTTCCTTCTCAATGAAAGACTTTTCCCTTTCAGCTCATTTAACACATTTACGCAGGTGGCAGCCGTATTGGCTGCCAAGGACACGTGCTTCGCGAACTATGGCAGCTCATGTGGCCTGCCAGCTGCTAATCGCTTACTTTGCTTGTATCGCAACTGTTTTGACTTTTTCATATAAGCAAAACTTAGGGTTTAATAAATGGCAATTATTGGTACAGTTTACAGATATGTTTAGGGTGCCTCACTTTGAAAAAGGTTTCCCGAAACCTTGCAAAATTATCAGCTCGCGCCGCCGTGAATACATAAGATCCCTGATTTGTTCCAATGGGAGGTACTTCCTAAAAATTTCGATTTGCTTTCAGTCAAACATTGAAAAGTCCCCAATAAAAAGATATCGTTTCCGCCTTTTTTCATTTTCAGTTTTCATCTGTTATGGCATCAATAGCCTTTGCCT